GGTCACTCGTGTAGAAGATCACACCACCTGCTCGACCTCTCATCGAGTCTCTTCGAATCAATGAGTAACCTGCAAGGGATATTTCGCCATCGCTGTTTTCCTGGGTCAACCAGGTTTCTGTGAGGGCTAGAACATGGGGTTTCTTATCGGCCACTAACTGTTTGACCTCCAGCATCTTGTTAGAGATGCTGAGACAGTTAGTGGAGATGCACTTTAGAGCCCACTCACTAGAGATTTCAGTAGTAGCAGGGTTAGAGGAGGGATCCTTGGGAGGGGCTCTAATTTGGGTATCTAGTTTGTAATAGGTGAGCTGTGGACGCGGTCCGGATTGTGGACCATTCTGTGGCGTGATTGCCTCGACCTGTTTAAGAGGTCGGCAGGACGCGTGGGATGAGACACGGGGAGAAAATGGACGATTTGCGATCCCCTACTGGAGTGTGCGAGGTATCCCTGTTGCCCACTGGGGTGCGCGTCACGGAAAAGGGAGGATTGTAGTGCTAGTGACCGGGTTAGGAACTGTGGTACGGGGGGTTTTTCCGAGTAAACCGTTCCGTTGTGGTTTGGGATTATGGGGCGTCTTGCGGTTAATCTTATTCGTGGCGGGGGTGTAGGGCCTTGGTGTCGAAGCTGTAGGGGGCTGCTTAGGTCGCTCCGCGGATGTGATGGAGGCCCTGCGAGATTGTCTTGCCTTAGAAGGTGAGAAGGTTGTCGTCGCTTGGTGGTCTACGAGCGAGAGGGGGATTACCGGCAGACAGCGGAGTTTGGGATCGCTGGCACCATTGTTACTTTTGAGGGCTTTCTTCTGCTGAGTTCAGGCCTTCAACTTGCCGCGATTCGTTCGTATTCCGGCAAGCTCCGCCACATCATCGAACTCCCACAGGAACATTTACACATCCCCATCCTCGAAGGCTGCTGGCCATGGAACCTTCATCCTGATCCTGGAGAAGGCACCAATTGTTATATTCCCAAAAGGCGGTGCTGGTCGAGGAGCATTCTTTGTTGCAGCACACAGATTGAAGGTCACTAATTTTGCATGCATAACACGAAATATGCCATCGCAGATCATTGCGACACAGAGTAATAAGTAGAGCAGGCAGTGTTTATTCTTCCCAAAGATATTACTTGGTCCTTGATGGTCTTGTTCTATTTTTAATCACCGAAAGTTACCGACGACTCACGGGTGAGTAGTACTCACAACACTCCTTCCCCTCGGCGGAAGGGATCTCTGCATTCCTTGGTTAATTGACAACTGTTTCTTGGATTGTGCTCGCGTTTGTCTCTAATTTTCGACGTTTGGCGGCGTCCTGTCTGACGTTATGTTATTGGATTGTGGAATTTCTTTTGTTGGTTTATTGCGTATGCTGTGCCTTTGATCGTGCCATGTTGCGACATGGCACGATCAAAGGCACAGCACACGCAATCGTTTCGATGTACACGACGGACTTCGTTCATCCGTTGAATTTTGTACACGGGGTGGCGTTCTTCAACCATGCGGTATGGACCCTTCCATTTGGGAATTAACTTCCTCGAGCCAGGGCCGCTCGCGAATCCCCCCACAATCTGCTCATATTTTACTTTAGATCCAACCGGAAACACACTGGCCGTCCGTCCAGTTTGTATTCTCGACTTGCGTATTATATCCCACTGCGCCTTCTTTAGGTTATGCCGGGCTTTGCGTCTTGTTTGTTGAAGTTGTTGCGGAGATAAATCGTTTCGCGGCCAAATGCCAACATGGAGATCCACTGGCAGCTTCGGAATTCTTCCATGCGTCAGTTGAAATGGTGTGTGTTTGGTACTGGCGTGTGTGGTCGAGCGATAAGCCAAAAGTCGTGAAGTTAGGGCCGACTCCCAATCCCCTCCTTTCGTTGGGAGCTATTCTTTGATTGTTCTGTTATTGCGTTCCGTGAGGCCGTTGGTTTGTGGGTGATAGGGCGTTGTGCGTATCTTTTTGATGCCTAATTTCCGAAAGCACGTGCAA